ACTCTGATATTGCGTTCGTGTGTGTGTGTGTGTGCGTGCATGCGTTCGTGTGTATGTGTGTATGTGTGTGTGTGTGTGTGTGTCAGAGAATGATACAGCAGTTCACGCCCATCGCATCACACCTGCCTCCCCCCCCCCCCTGTCTGCGCCCATCCTCCACCCAGCAACCAGCCATGTCGTCACACCTCGTTTGCGACGGGATGGATGAGCGTCTTTGGAAGGTCGATGATGTGTGTGCTGCCGTTCACGTCTCCAGCAGCGAGGAAGAACAAGCGACCGCGTGACGAGGCTGTTTCGTGGTGATGACGAGGTGTCGTGTCGTGGTGATGGGGGTTGAGACGAAAGCAGATAAGGTAGCGTGGGCTGAATGACATGCATCGCGAACGATGCACAACGCTTCTTTGCACACTGCGAATCTCTTCATGCATACACGCACATGCACGCACGCCACGCATGCGCACACACGTACACAAAGCAACCCAGCACACCACATGACGGTACAGCGACAACGCAGTGGCAACGTACAGGTTGAGATCTCGCCCGCCGCGAGCGTGGTGAGTGATGTTGGGGCGCAGATGGACTGTGTGAGCGACGGTTTGTACGACGTGTCCAGGAAATCCCACACGTCCACGCTGCCGTCAGCACGGGCAATGAAGAACACGCCTGGCCGATGCAGGCTCCAGCACCCGGCAACGGGGCGTGCCATGCCTGCAGGCAGTGCAGCCAACCAGCCGGTGGTGAATGTATGAAGACAAGTTGGGTGTGTGTATGTGTGTGTTTGTGTGTGTGTATGTGTGTGTATGTGTGTGTTTGTGTGTGTGTGTTTGTGCACGTTGACGTCGATCGCTCATGCACACGAACACATGCACACAACCCAAACACACACACACACACACCACCACCACCACAAGCCATTCAAGCACCAACGCAGGCGGCGCGTACATGGGAGGCGGTGTGTGAGGATGGGCGTGGAGGACTTGTCGTGCCAGAGCGAAATGGACGATCCGCCAACAGAGAGCAGCAGCGCCGGGAAGAACGGCGACCGCTGTAGCGTTGGAGGAGGAGGAGAGAGGGGGATATGAGTTGGGTGGTGGAATGGGTGGGCGGCGTTGCGTGCCTTGTGGTGTTGTTGTTCGTAACATGCATCCATGTGTGTACGTGTGTGCGCATGCACCTGCTGTGTACACAAGTGACACTTCATTAAGCACGATCATGACCAGCAGCACCACCATTGCCACCGACCGCAACAGAGGTGCAGGCGCCGCCGTGCGCGTCCACTGTCGTGCGGATCTGCTGGACTGCAGACGGGAATAATGATGGTGGCGGTCATGATGGTTGTGATGGTTGTAGTGGTGGTGGTGGTGGTGGTTGTGATGGTGAAGATTGTGGTCGTGGTCGTGGTGGTGACACGAATCAGTGTGAGGGGTGGAGATAGCATGATCAAAGCGAAGGCTGCAATGTCACCAGACATGCATCAACTAAAACACTACAACCAATCAAGCAAGAAATCCCGCAAACATGTCCGCGTTGGTTTTACCGCCGAGTTTTCCGGAATCTGTTTCCGGTCGGCGCCAGTCCAAGAAATGCAGCTGTCCTTGCTGCTCGCACAGACACAAGAAGGAAGAGAGGGGTGGGGTGGAGAGGGCGATGAGATGATTGGATTCATGGGGAGAAAAGAGCGATTGCTTGCTGTGCAACGGAATCGTTTGGACGACACCCAAGCCAAACACACACACACACATTCACACATTCACACACACACACACACACACACACACACACACACACACACACACACACAAAGACAGACATGCACGCATCAATTCTCACGCAGGAACACGAACCTCTGTTGCAACACAGAGCTCTGTGGTCATGCTCAGATCGGGCGCTGCGATGGAGCGACGGGATGATGAATGGCGAAGCGATGGAACGATATGGGACGGGAGCACGTATCAATCAAGGAACAGCAGTTAGAGAAATAGAAGGGATACAGGTAAACCATACGCAAGGGACAAACGCAATCGCTCTACGAGAGGATTCATATGTGAGTGTGCGTGTGTTTGGAACAGCGTACCTCGTTCGGCCACAAAGTCACGGTGTGTGGTGTAGAGCGCAAACTTGCTGGCCATCACCTCCCCAGCAGCATCCGACGACAGATACACCTGTGCACCACAACGGTGGATGGTGGGCGGTTGGATGTTCAGGGCAAGCGAGTCATGGATGGGCAGGTGCACGGTATTCAACACCGCAATTGCTGCGCACGAACATGCCGTCACATAACTAACAGCACACACACAACCAATGGACACAATCGACACACACAGTCGGCACATACACACACACACACAGTCGACACACACACACACACACACACACACACACACACACACACACAATCGATGCACCCCAACCCCCAACCCCCATAACCCCCTGAACGCTCCTCTTCCAACTCCCCCCCCCGCCCCCCTATCCTGCCACACCTTGACGAGTGGTTTCCAGACGAGGTCGAGGGCCTTGAGGTTGATGCTGGGCAGCTTGTCTTCGCCGCGCACATCCCAGATTAGACACGTGCCGTCCGCCGCGCACGACATGAGCTGGTACGTGTGGGCAGGGGGCATGTCTTCTTGCGTCATGGCGCCAGAGGCAGACACGTCGCACACGTGCGGCAGCCACTGCACATCGGTGATGGGCGCGCGGTGGCCGTCATCAATCTCAGACAGCGCGACATGACGCAATACAATCTCCTGCGACCCGGACGAGTCGGAGGACTGCGGAGAATCAGAATGGGGACGAGGGGAAGGGGAGAGGTGTGGCATGAGGTGTTGGCGTGCATCTGCCCACGTGTAACGACGATCCGGCAGCAGTGTTTGCGTTGTAAACGACCACCCTTCAACAAGGACAACAACAAGCACACACACATACATACATAAACACAAGCACACACAAACGCACACCCACACACAAGCACACAGGAGTACATGAACGTGTACACGCGAACGCTTCCCCTCCTCCGGCATCACTCCCTTCCACCACCACCACCAGTCATTCGCACCCGCACGCTGCCTGAATTGAGGCGGCGGCCTTGCTTGCCGAGATCAAACACAGCGAGCTGCCCATTGAAGCACCCTGCCACGACGATGTTGGGGTGTGTTGGACAGAACTTCACGCTCAAGACGTCGTCCGGCGCCTCAAGAATGATCTGCGCACGTGGTGATTGATGGCAGTGGTGGGGGTGGAGATGTTGTGACGACGGCGACGTGAGTGTCAAGGTGGGTGAGAGTGCATCTACACACTCTATTGAGTGCACATGTAGACACACTTGCGCGCGCGTGCACACACACACACATACGCACACACACACACACACACACACCCGCACACGCGTGCACACACACACATACGCACACACACATACGCACGCACACACGCACACGCACACGCACACACACACACACACATGCGCGCGCACACACCTTTGGTTGGATTGGGTCTGAGAGTCCCCAGACGAGAATACGTGATTTCTCGTTTGGTTTCTCGGACGTGACACGTTCCTGCAGGGTCACGGGTTTGCTGTACGCAACAGCAATGACGCCAGACTCTGTGGGGTGCCAGTCAACACTCGACACAACCCGCGAATTGCCAAAGTTCATAAACTTGAATGATTGAAACTCCTGCAGTTGTTGTGGTTGAGATGAGTCGTATTTGTGTGTGTGTGTGTGTGTGTGTGAGTGAATGTGTGTGAGCAAAAGTTGCCATTGCTACTCAACCGGAATAAATCACGCATGTGGCAGTGCACACTCTTGAACAGACACGAACAAAACACACAAACACACACAACAATCCCAACACGCCACCCCAAACCTCCAACACCTCCCCCCACCCCCAAACAACAAAACGCCACACGCTTGCACGGCCACGTGTACCTTGAGGGCGCTGTCTGCTTTCGTGCCGAGCGCAACGAGCTTGTCGCCGCGGAGGTGCAGGAAATCATCCACGTGCACGTTGATTACGCTGTTCTGCAGCAGAAAGGGACGGATCCTTGCAGGCAAAACAAAAAAAAAACGCAAACAACGGCGCAACGGTAGATGGCACACGCATCATCCAGTGTGAGTGTGTGTGACAGCAGGAACACTCTGCACCTCAGGCACCGAGCAAACTTTATCGCAACACCAAACACAACACCAGCACCACTTACAACACCAACACCGGCTGCCACGCAACAGCATTAACAACACCAGCACCACTAACACCACCAACACCAGCTGCCCCACAACAGCATTAACAACACCAGCACCACTAACACCACCAACACCAGCTGCCCCACAACAGCATTAACAACACCAGCACCACTTACAACACCAACACCAGCTGCCCCACAACAGCATTAACAACACCAGCACCACTAACACCACCAACACCAGCTGCCCCACAACGGCCCCCCTCCCCCTTCCTCTTCCCTCCAGTCCCCCAACTGCATCGAGTCAACCAACCTGCCGTATGCCGTCTCAATCGCCTTTGCCATCTGGCGATAATCGTCGTCTGTCCTCGGAATACCATCGTCATCAGCGCCATCGGGTCCAGCAGCGGCGTCGGCTGTTGTGCGCGGTCGCCACTGTGTACTCGCGTTGCGATGGGCGTACCTGCAGCGGTGTGCAGTGGTGGTGGTGATGATGATGATTGTCAGTGGTGTTCGTGGTGTTGTGCTGGACTGGTGCATCCATCACTCTCAACGACCGACACACATGCACGCACGACACAACCAACGCAACACACATCCAGCCAGGCGCACCATGTTGTCTGGGTGGTGGTGTGTGCGGTGTCTGGGATGGCCTGTGCCCCGGCGTCCATGAGGCGGCGGTGCAGTGGTGGTGGCGCGTCCTCAATGGGGGGCTGGGACTGAGGGGAGGGTGGCGTGGTTGGTGGAAATGGATACATGGATACATGGAGTTTGGTGGTGAAGTTGGTGTGGTGAGAGAAGAGGGCGCGGGGCTGAGGCAGTTGATCACGCGTGTAACATGCATCGAAAAGGACCAGCAACACCCACTTCAACAGTAAACCACGCAGCTGCCTGGTGCACCTTGTATTCCGTGTTTGGTGGGAACTCGTGTTCGGAGTCGAAAATTGCGTCATGGAAGGTGCGAGGCGCTCCAAACAGCCGCCGCTTGCGGGACACAAGCAGGCAGATCTGAAGAGCGTGGGGGTGCAAAAACATGGATGGATGGTTGGTTGGTTGGTTGGTGGGTGGGTGGGTGGAAACAAATGCCGGTGACTTGAAGGTTGGTAGTGTTGAAAGGGTGGCATGGCCAGCTGACCACCCATGGCGATGGTTTGCAGGTTTCAAAAACAATTCATACAAGCCAAGCACACAAAGAGAGACAGACAGACAGGCACACACACACCCACACACGCACACACACACAGATACACGTGCGCTTGAACACAACCCAGTCACCAATCCATCCATCCATCCGTCCATTCATCCACGCAGCCGTCACCATACACAGGCATCTACCGTGCTTCTTCGCCTTGTGTGTGCCAACTCACCGGGGGGCGCGACGGTGTGCACTTTGCATCGTCCACCTCATGCTCCGAGCCAAGCGACACCCACGGGGCGGGGGGTCGTCTCTTCTTCTTTGTCGGCATTGGAACGCCCTCCATATCCTCGCTCCACTCCTCCCCGCCATCTCCGCCCGCTTGCTTCTTCTTCCGCTCTTCCTCCGCTTTCTGCACCACAGCTGCAACGCGCTGTTAAGTGGTGTGTGTGTGTGGGGGGGGGGGGTGTTTGTGGTGTGATTGTTTGTGTGTGATTGTTTGTGTGTGTGTGTGTGTGTGTGTGTGTGTGTGTGTGTGTGTGTGTGTGTGTGTGTGTGTGTGTGTGTGTTTGCGAACATGTATGAGGCAGTGTTGGCCAATCTCAGAATACGATGCACGCTGACGTGAACCACCGACATGACATGGAAACAAACAAACAACAACTGTGCCCCCAACACCTCGACACGCCTTTGCTTGTCTCCCACCCCACCCTCGTGTCCTGCCACTGCTGTACCTGGTAATAATCTCCCTTTGCCTGTTCCGTGAGACAGACGATGAAGTTTGTCTCAAAGGTGAAATCGGGATCATACACCACCAACAGCTCCTCACCGTCATACGCCTGTGAACAAAGACACAATCGCGTCGGAAAGGATGTGAGAACCAACTCATGAAGATGAATGACACAAACGCAAGTGCGAGCAGCTGCGAGAACGACCACACAAACATCACAACACACACGCACATACGAACAACACGCACACACGAACAACACGCATACACGCGCACACACGCACGCACACCTGGATCTGCTCCTTGCAGACTGAAAAGTCGGAGACGGCTGCGCGGTTGAGAAAGTCTTCCTTAATCTTCTCGATTGGAATCAGGAACGTCGGCTTCTCTGCCGTCACATTCTCGTCGGCGATGCACCCAAAGATCTCCTGCGTTGCGCCTGCGCCGCAGATGGGATGGGCGTCAAAGCGAGTCGTATTGATGTAAGCGCGCCCGCACAAACAACACGTAAACCATTGTGTATGTGTGTGGGGGATGGTTGTTGCATGTCACACACACACACACACACACACACACACACACACACACACACACACACACACACACACACACACACACACACACACACACACACAGAACACACACACAGAACACACACACAGAACACACACACAGAACACACACACAGAACACACACACAGAACACACACACAGAACACACACACAGAACACACACACAGAACACACACATACACATACACATACACAGAACACCGCATGCACGAAGGATCTCGTCTCCATCAAACACCCAAGCGTGCGTGCACACCTGTGAGGAACATGCCCAGGGCACCCTCTGGAAGGCCGCCGTCGGCATAGAGCGTGGCAACTGTGGGCGTGCCCGTCCCTGCTCCTGCCCCTGCTGAGGTGACACGCTGCCCTTGCTCTTGTGGCTGTGACGATGATGCAGCGTCATCTGTAGCAGCATCGCCAGTGGTCGCCTCTGCAGCTTCACCCTCGGCTGTTGCAGGCGCCTCTGCCCCCTTTTCCTGCCCCTGCTGTTGCTGTTGATCTTGACCTTGAGCTTCAGCTTGATCGGCGGCGCTTTGGCCCTCTGTTGCAGCGGGCTCTGCCTGCTTCTCCTTTGCTTCTTTCCCATCATCGCCTGGCGACTTTGGCTTTGCGCTCGCAGCTCGACTGGCGGCCTTGCTCCCTGCTTTGCTTGCTGCTTTGCTCTGCTTCTTCTTCTGCTGGGTAGTCTCCTCGTTGGTGGGGGACGTTGCTGCTGCAGAAGCAGCTTCTTCGTTGTCCGCCATCCCGCCCGCTACGCTTTGCTTTGCTTGCTTGTTTGCTGCAGTGTTTCCTGTCTTGTGCGCCTTGTGTGTGTGTGTGTGTGTGGCTGTGTTGTATCCGTTGTTGGCAACCAGCAAACTGTGCCTCCCTGAATTCAGGGTCTCCGATTTGTGTGGGGATTTCTGCGCAGCGCTGCTTGTGCCTGCAGTCAGATCATTTCACCCCTCTTCCTCTTCCTCTTCCACCACCACCGCACCCTTCCCTCAAACCCCCCGCACCCTTCCCTCCCCCGCACCCCGGATAGCCTCTCCGGGTCTTTGACTGTCAGCGCCTTGTCTCGTTCATTTGTCACTCCAAACACAATTCGGAACGTGGGTTGGACAAGCAAGCAAGCAGAGCGGTACAACAGGCGTGCATATGGCGTTCACGGTGGCCGCACCTCACCAGGGTACATGAAACAACAACAAATGAAGAAAAGGACGGCGCAGTGGCAGCAGCACCACCGCACAGCCAACGTCACACCCGTGCAACCATAACGAAGCACGAAACAACAATGAGGCCAAGAGGGGTCACTTAGGCGGAGTTGGAGTTGGGGCTGCGCTTCTGGTTGTTGGCAGTGCTGTTGAAGCGGTTGTTGTACTGCTGGCGGCGCTTGGCACGGCCTTGAAAAAAAAAAAGGAACGCAAGCGAAAACAAGGTGTGCGCGGTGCATGAGTGAGTGTGAACGAGTTGTGAGTGAGAGCAAGCGAGGTGAGGGAGGCAATGAGACGGCAGGCGCATTGGAACCAACTGAAACCAGTGCGTGGGGAGATGCTCAACATCACACACACATACAAGCACATGGGCACACCACGTCGTCCAATGAACACAACATACCCCCGCACGCACACACGCACGCACACACGCACACACACGCACGCACACACACACACACACACAAATCGCATTGACAAGCATGCTCACCGGTCTTGGCCTTCTTCTTGTCCTCCTGCTTCTCAACCTTGGGGGTCTGACCCTTAACCTTACCGGCACGGGCAAGGGAACCGTGGACCTTACCTGCGGTCAGTCAAGACAGGCAAGGCAGCACAAGTGCGTGTGGTGCGGTGTGGTGGTGTCAGGGAAGAAACGACCATGGAAAGAAGAAGAGGAACACGTGCACACATGTGAACAAACACGTCCACCTGCACACCCACACGAACACACGAACACAACACACGCAAACACACTCAAACACACTCAAACACACTCAAACACACACACACATGTGGTACGTGCGACCCGCTTCCCCAACCCCAACCCCAAAAAAAATCGCACTGCATCTGTGCTACGCACCACCACGGACGCGGGGGGCGACGTTGAGGGTGGCGAGCTCGGTCACGTCAAAGGCGGAGAGAGGGCCATCGACGAGGGGGCGACCGGCGAATGTGACGTACTGCTCAGAGGCGGGGATGCCCTCGACAGACTCCACGAAGGAGCGCACATCGGAGACGCAGGTGGTCTCGTCAACGTCAAGGACGTGGGTCTGCTCGGCGCGGACAAACAGCTGCATGTTGGCGGGTTTTTCGGGCTGTGTTGCTTGTTCGGGGAAGAAGTGCCTTTCGCAAGGAGTCGGAGCACAAACAAGAGAGGGTGGGGTGAGGAGACAGTGGATGACGTGACGTGAGGGAAATGATGACACAAGACAGCCGATGGTGTTGGTAACGTGGCGATGGTGTAAAGTGGTGGCGTAACTTGAGTATGCTTGTTGTTGTTATTGTGTGTATGTGTGTGTGTGTGGTGTCTGTGTGTGGTGTGTGTGTGTGTGTGTGTGGTGTGTGACACAGAGCGTAACTTCGAGAAAAAGAGAACGAAAGAAAGGACAAAAGAGGAAGGAAGGTTGGCGCGGTTATGAAATACAAGGGTGCCAGGGGTGCCTGAAAGAACAACACAACACCGCGTCCACCTGATGCACCGCTTCTGCGTGCGTGGCACGCAAGGCGCACACAATCAACAATAAAGGGCACACGACGACAACACGACGACGAACACGACGACGAACACAATCCATACACGTGTGCTGCGCAACAAGCAAACAACCCCCAAAGAGGGAGTTGCGCTTTGCGCGCGTGTGTGTGTGCGTGTGCGCTGTGCTCAGCAAAGCGTACAGCGTCCCCCGACGCACACCCATCCACAACCAAACAACACGCACCCTTTGACGACGACCACACGACACCCCATACAGCAACAACCCAGCACACACACACACACACACACACACACACACACACACAACACATACACAACACATACACACACAGCCGTCGCATAACCACCTCTTTGACTCGCGTGCGTGAAGAAGAAAAAGGCAGACGCACAATTTGTACATTTACGAAGGTATGCTCAAATGCAGAAAATTGTCATTTATGTGACATGACGAAAATTCATGAAAGTTTCGTCATGAATGAAACATGGAGGTACCGGGTTGGATGCAACACAACAAGGAAGATAAAAAAAAACTGACGCACAAACAAACACATGGACGGTGCGTGCTTCTGGTGGTGGCTGAGACAGGCACGTCGTGGAGTGCGCAATGTAGGAGAGACCCGAACACGTCACATCCACAAACAACACACACACGCACACACACACGCACACAAACATCGCACTCACACTCACTCACAAATACAAACACACTCACAAACAAACACTCAACAACACGTCATGTCTTGTCACGCCTTTGCGTCAATGATGGCTGGGGCTGCCGTTGTTGCTGACGAGGAGGAAGGTGATGGCGTTGTTGCTGGTGTGGCGGCTTTGGTCTTCTTGTCTTCCACTGCTCCATTTCGCGCCCTCTCCTCCTGTGTCTGCAGGCTCTCTGCAATGTACGACGCAACAATCTCCACGCCCACTGTAGCACACGAACATAGAACCAGAAGCACGACAGCAAGTGATGCACATTGTGAGGAAGAAAAAAGCACAAGCGGCACGCTGCAGCCAGTTGCGCCGTTGCAATAACCGCACACATACACACACAGAAGTGACATCCACACACGCACACGCACGCACGCACGCACGCACGCACGCACGCACGCACGCACGCACGCACACACACACACGCACGCACATACACGCACACGCGCGCGCACCTCGGTTCTCGCTGCCGCGTGGGATGATCATGTTGGCGCTGGCGCTCAGCTGGAAAAAAAAAAGGAAGAAGAAGAAGAAGAAAAGGAGTGACAAACGGAGACGGCAAGGCGATGATAACGCAGATACAGCGTGAGACACGAAATAAGGCGGTGGCAGTTGATGAAGACGTGATGGAGGGGGGAAAAGGGAGACATAACATTCAGCGCGCGCACACACACCACATAACACACACAACAAAACACATACACGACAGACACACACACACACACACACCCCACGACAGAGTGCAAGCAGACACAAAGAGCAATACGTACGGGCTCTGTGTATTTCTCGTATGCGAGCTTTGCGCATGCAAAGTAGTAGTCGAGAATGTCGTCCAGCCGGCGGCCCTGGTTGCGGTCGCGGAGCACTGGCAGCCGTAATGGTGGTGGTGATAGTGGTGGTGGTGGTGGTGGTGGTGGTGACGAGGAGGGGTGAGGAGGGAACTGAGAGGGGAAGAGAAGAGGTCAAGGTACAGGTGTGGAAAGAGATATGGAGCAGTGGAATGGGAAATATCACAACATCACAACCACCGAAACCCCACACATACCACCACATACACACATGTGCACGCACATACACATGCACACGCACATAGACAACACACCGCGTTCGCTGAGGCGGAGGTCTGGGTCGAGGGAGATGAAGACCTTGATGTCAAAGAGATCCTCCTCCTTAAACCAGGTGAGGATGCCTTTGACAATCACCACGTCCACATTGCCAGGAATGGTCACGCTCTCCTCAGACGGCCTGGTGGTGGTGGTGGTGGTGGTGATTATGATGTGGCAATGTGGTTATGAGGTGATGGTGACGAGGTGACAGTGGTGGACGAAAGGTGCGAAGGACTATAGACACACACACACACACACAACACAAACGTCACACACACGCACACACGCACACACACATACACACACACATACACACACATACACACACACATACACACACACAAATACACACACGCACACACACACAAATACACACACGCACACGCACACACACGCACACACACACATACACACATACACACGTGTTACGCCCACACAAGCACAAAAGCGAGCAACGCACTCTGGCCTGACGGGGGCAACGTCCGACTTGCGGATCTGGATAGATTCGCCAGCCTTGAGCGCCCGCAGCACCGTGCCCATGCGCTCGTAGTCAAAGGCATCTGCACCACACACACACACACACACACACACACACACACACACACACACACACACACCATGTCAGGCCGAAGTGGCAGTTCGCGGGTGTATGTGCGCATGCGTGTGCATGTGTGTGCGCACAATAATCGCACGAACACTCACGCAGCACCACACAAACACCGCCGCCACCACCAAACAACCAGCACGTCCACACACCTGGGTGGTCGTAGTTTGGGAGCGTGTGATCGGTGTGCTCGTGGGCGATCTCGGGCCTGTAAAACTGGTTCTGCGACAGGATGGCCACCGAGTACTTGTTCTCCAGATAGTCCTGGATGTCTTTGCAGAACCGCGTCTGAACAAGCACGCAATTGAATGTGAACATGCACGTACACGGGATAAAGCATGAGCACCAGCACAGGATTGACCCAGGCACCATGCACGTGCACACAAGCACACACGCACACATGCACGCACACACAAGCACACACGAACACACACGAACACACACGAACACACACGAACACACACGAACACACACAAGCTCACACGCACAAACACACACACGAACACACACACGCACAAACGCACGAACACAAACCTTGCCGGAGCACGATCCGCCGACAACGCCGAGGATCAAGGGCCGCGACACATCCACGGGCTTGCGCTGGGGGCGCTTGTTCCAAGAGGAGTACATGATCTTTGGGTCGGCTTGTTGGGTGGCTGGCGTAACAGCAGGCTGTGGCGACAACGACAACAAGCGGCAGCACGTTGATGTTGATGATGACATGGTCACGGTGGCCGGACACGCAATAAGGAGTGTAATCAAGAGAGTATGTGTGTGTGTGTGTGTGTGTGAGTGAGTGAGTGAATGACTGTCTCGCCTGGTGTTTGTGCTCGTGTTGTTCTTGTCGCACTTTGTCAGTGCCAAACAAACAATCACCACACACAACACAGCTCAAAAAAGCAGTTCCACCAAAACAAAAACACAAACAAACCAACCAACCCCCAATGGAACTGACACCACGTTGCGTTGGGTGTAGTCACCCTCCCTTCCCCTTCCTCACCACCTTCAACCAAACCAACCTCCGACCTTGTCGTGCGCGTTGCTCGTTGGGCCAAGGAAAATTAATGGAAGATTTTGGCGATGTTTCCGTATTGGCGCCACCCAAAGCAGACAGCGTGCACACACAAACCACACGCAACACCCACCCCCACACCAACCCACCACCAAGAACCACCAGCACCCCCACACCAACCAACGGTGGCGCTGCAAGGCGGAAGCCAGACGACGGCGGAGGACAAGGGATCGCAAAAGCAAGGAGAGATCCACCAAGGAGCCACTCGCGCAAGCGGAGAAGGAGAAGCAGTCCAAGACCAGGTGCAAGGCCAACAACACACAGCGCAAGCTCAACAGCAACCACCACAACCTCGCACAACCATGCCTCGCCTTTCACCACTGATGTTGATGGCTGGGAACTCCCACCCCCAGCTACTCCACGATGTTGCTTCACACTTGCACAAGAAGCCATGTGAAATCACCGCCTGCAAGTTTGCCAACGGAGGTGCGTTGTGTGCACGTGTGTGTGTGTGTGTGTGTGTGTGCATGTGTGTGTGTGTCTGCGTGTGTGTGCATATGTGTGTGCATGCGTGTGTGTTTGTTTGATGTGAACCTGTTTTCTGTTTTTCGGATTCCTTTCGCTGCTTTGATGGCCCAGTTGTTCATTGGAGTCATCGAGACTTCCCACGGCCATACCCGTCCCCGTACACATGCAACGTGCAACACTCCTTGCGCTCCACGCGCTTCTTCCACTCACCTCTGAGGTTTTTTGACGGCTCTTTGCCCTGTGTATTCTTTTTGCAGAGACGCGCGTAAGCATTGGGAAGAGCGTGCGCGATGCTGACGTATTCCTGCTGCAGACAGGGATGGGCCACAAGGCTGAGGAGGGCGAAGAGCTCAAGCAAGACACAACTCTCAACGACTCGTGCATGGAGCTGCTCATCATGGCCTCGGGCGTGCGCCTTGCCTCGGCCCAGCGCATCGTCGCCGTGCTGCCATATTTTCCCTACAGCAAGCAGAGCAAGCAGAAGCGCCGCGGCACCATCCCCGCCCGCCTGTTTGCGGACCTGCTCAAGACGGCCGGTGTGGAGCACGTCATCACGCTCGACCTGCACCACATGCAGATGCAGGGCTTCTTCAGCGTGCCCATCGACAACGTCAAATCCTCCCCGCTCCTCATCGACTACATTCGCGAACACGTGTGTGTGTGGGGGGGTGGTGGGTGGTGGTGCCTGTGTCTGTGTGTGTGTTTGTGTGTTTATGTGTGTGTGTGTCTGTGTTTGTTTGTGTGTGTGTGTGTGTATGTCTGTGTTTGTTTGTGTGTGTGTGTGTGTGTCTGTCTGTCTGTTTGCTCGTCTGTCTGTGTGTCTGTTTGCTTGTCTGTGCGTGTCTGTCTGCTTGCTTGTCTGTCCCTGTGCGTGTTTGTTCATTGTTCGACGAGAGTTCTTTGCTCATCCTCAATGCCCTCGGTGTCACCTCCCACATTGCAGATTCCCGATTGGCAGAATTGTGTCGTCGTTTCCAAGAACGCAGGCGCCCTCAAGCGGTCAGTTCATGTGTGTCTGTGCGTGTGTTTATGTTTGTGCTTGTTTCTGTGTGTGTGTGTGCCTGTTTCTGTGTGTGTGTGTGTGTTTGTGCCTGTTTCTGTGCGTCTCTGCCCGTCTATCTGTGTCTGTGTGTGGCACCTATCTGCCTATCTACCATGCCTATCTGTCAGTACAACAACGGATTCCCTCCCTCCCCCTCACACTCACCAACTGTACACGTGTGCGCAGTGCTGCGCTGATTGCGAAGCGGCTTGGGCTGCAGCTTGCAATGATCACGGGCGAGCAGTACAAATACGCCGAAGCGCTCTCGGAGGAGCGCCTCTCTGGCGAAGGCAGCATGGACGGTCAGTCATCGACATGACACATCTCTGTGTCGTCGCGTGTACGCGTGTGGGTGTGTGGGTGGGTGGGTGTCTGTCTGTCTGTCTGTGTCTGTGCGTGCGTGCGTGCGTGTGTGTGTGTGTCTGTGCGTGCGTGCGTGCGTGCGTGCGTGTGTGTGGCTGTGGCTGTGGCTGTGGGTGTGTGTGTGTGTGTGTGCGGCTGTCGATCCTCTGTACATGCGTCTGTACATGTGTCATCCAAGCGCTCTGCCTGCACCTCACTCTGCTTACGCGCGTTGACATGTTCATGGTAACAGCGGCTACACGCGAGCAGACAAACATGATGGAGGAGGTCGAAGATGAAGCACAGGTGTGTGTGTGTGTGTGTGTGTCACTGCTGGTTTGTTTCATTGCCTTTGTCAAACACGCACGTGTGCATATTCGTGCACGCGCCTGCGTTCACTCGCTCGCTCTTGCCGCCTCTGCCGCTCGTCAGGGTGACGGTATCATTGGGAGCGTGAATGGTCGCGGTGCCATCATCATCGATGACATCATTGACACGCCAAACGCATTCAGTGAGTTGCGCATTCCCCAGGCGGCATCGCTTTCTGTTTTGGTGGTGCTTGCCCAAACCACACCTTGCGGCATTCTGGTGTTGTACCCCCTCACACCACACACACTCACTCACTCACTCACACCATCAAACTCGACTCGACTCACCACGCTTTTAGTCTCTGCTGCGAAACTGTTGAAGAACAACGGGGCCAAGGACGTGTATGTGATTGCCACGCACGGCCTGCTCTCTGGCGACGCGCCGGAAGAACTCAACAAGTCGGGCGACATCAAGCACGTCGTCGTCACCAACACCGTGCCGCAGCAGGACCATGTGCGCAGGTGCGAGAAGTTGGAGGTCATTGACTGCAGCTTCGTGCTGGCCGAGGCCATTCGCCGCGTGCACAACAACGAGCCCCTCTTCTCCATGTACACCAACCACAAGGACGGTGACAAGGGGCTTGCGCTCACACAGTGGAAGACCCCAGAGGAGGCCGTGTCCCTCAACGAGACACCGCGGCCACGCTCGCGCACGCGCAGTCTTCGCCGCGCCGCAACCTTGCCGACAACATCGTCGGCGAGCAACTCGCCTCGCGGATCATCGTCCACGCTCACACCCATGCCAGAGGTGAGCCCGCTGCGAACATCAGAGGACGCCCATCATGGCCCGTCCTCGTCTTCCCCCTCTTCTTCTTCTTCTTCTGCCGCGAAAACCACAAAGCCCAGCGCCAGCACGGAAGCCACCGGTACCACCAACGCCAACACCGCCACGTCTTCTCCAAAGGCCAAGCACTAGACTGCTCCTGAACAGGCGGGACAGCCGCCTCGTCCTCTTGCTTCCCTCCTTCCCCTTGTCTTCCTGCACGTGTACATTTACTGCCATTCTTTTAACTCGTCGTTAGTTTGTTGCTTGACCCTGTGGTTTGTTTTGGGGTTTGCTGCAGTTGTGTATTGTAGTTGTGCAACTGGCTTTGCTTGCTTGCTTGTGTCTGTCTGTCCGTCTGTTTGTTCTGTGTGTGCAGGCGAGCCCAGCCACCTTCCCTCCACCCCCTTCCCTCTCCCTTCCCCCTGCCCGTCCTCGTCCCTCCTTTCCCTGCTTACTTTGTGGCAGTTGCCTTTCTGGCCCACCACCACCACCACCACCACCATCGTTCGTAAACAGTCTTTCCAAGCGGCATCCACACATGAAACGAAATGACGTCATATCTTCCACCACTTTTATCACACACACACACACACGCAAAACCCCATTGTTTCATCCTTTCGTCCATGATTGTGTTGCGTTTGCACGAAAGATTTGAAGTGAAAGAAGTGAACGCCTCTGTGAAGACTTCCCGCGCAAATCCCAATTCTAAGCAAGACGAGGGCCCAGGTGAGGACGTAGTAGAGGTAGAGAGGTGGTGGTGGTGGTGGTGGTGGTGGTGGTGGTGGTGGTGATGATGGAGGAAGATGGGCGTGGTGTCGTCGTACTGTACGGGAGACGTTGTGCTGTTGTGGTCTGCTCTGCGTGGGTGACTTGCCTTCAGCAACATCAAGTGCAAGCCACTAGACCAGGTCTTTTTCACTCGAGTTGAATGTAATGTATCTCATCGTGTGCTCACTTTGGCGCCATTATCTCTCACCTACGATCTTGCAAGCCTGCAGAACACGAGGAGAACGAGGAGCACAACATTCAACGTCCGGCCAAGAACATGTCCTCGCAAACCCCGCACACTCCGGTCACGCCAATGGCGGCACAGCAACCCATGGGCGCCACGCCAGATCACAGGACCCCGATCGACCCCATCAGCGTTACAAACCTCGCCACAGCGCGGCGCACGATGCGACTCACCCCAGTGTTCAAGGTGTGTGTGTGTGTGTGTCTGTGTGTGTGTGTGTCTGTGTGTGTGTGTGTGTGTGTGTGTGTGTGTGTGTGTGTGTGTGTGTGTGTGTGTGCCTCTGCTTTGAAGCTTCTGCTTTGAAGCTTCTGCTTCCCATCTACTTTGTGCCGTTTCTTGTGTTGGTTTCACCTCTCTCTTCCTCGCAACATTGTATTCAACGATGCACGCTCGCCAATGACTCCCGCTTTTAACTCTTGACTGCAGGAAGAACAGCAGCAGGCTCGTCAGGGACAGCGAGGGCATTCCGACTGGAATATGGGCCTCGCCGAGGGCAGGATGGGTCCACCTCGTCGAATGTTCGGCACGCCAGAGCCACCACAGCAACCAGCGGCAACAAGCATCAGCGATGAGGGCCAGGAGGAAGACGGTCAACAGCAGCAGGCGATTCAAGGCCGTCGAGCACAGGAGGAGCAATCTACCGCACCCTCAAGACACACCTTGAGCCCAGGTGATGGTCGACGACCCAACAGCTATGATGCATCTTCTTCTTCTTCTTCCCACCAACAGCAGCAGGAGGTGAGGTGTTCGTGTGTTCGTGCGTTAGGCTAGGTGGTGGGGTGGGGTGGTACTCGTTGTTGAAACCGTTTGCACTACTACAAGGACGACGCGACGTTCAATGAGCCATGAGCCAAGACCACCGTCCTCTTACGCCAACAACTCCATCCCCTGACTTGCAGTGGACGGATGACAGCATCTTCGCTTAAACCGATGTGGAAAACCAACCGGCCTTCACAAGCATATTGCATCCAATCCTCTCTCATTCCACCACGTCCACCATCCCCCTCCCCTTTTCACCCCCACGGCTCCATAGCAGCACTGCCACCAGTTGCAATAGTTGATTGTTTACAACGCACCACTTCCTCCCACTCAGCATATCACAGGCATTCACAAACAAGTGAGATGGCGTGGGTGCCAACACACCACACCAACACACACACACACACACACACACACACACACACACACACACACACACACACACACACACACACACACACACACACACACACACACAACGCGGCACCATGCAAACCAAACCTAGTTGTCCAAGACCAGCAACACGAATAAAACCTTCAACCCAACAGAGAAGATGACGAAGCATAACATGCCCCTCCTCCACACGAGAGCAGAACAAAAACAGGGCAAGTGAAACAGGAATCAAAACCATCAACACACAAAAGCAGCGGTTATCACACAAACAAATCAGAAGCAAATCAGCACCACGACGCTCCCAGCAACCACCAGGGTACAGGGAGACAAGGGGTAACATCATTTGAACAAGAAGGGGGGGGGGCGAATTAGCAGCAGGAAACATAAAGGGGAGGGGGTGAAGTGGCCGAGATGTACAGAGAGGGAGACGGAAGGGAGGGGGACCGAAGCAGCATCGCGGAGACACAGGCGTTGGCCAAGACTGCAGCCCAAAACACTGCTGTCCCAGCAGAGCGCGTGCCTCACTTGCCGTACTTGGCTGCCCAGTCCGTGCGCCTGTTGACTGCGTTGGCGCGGATGGCCGGGTTGGCAAGCGGTGCGCGCACGGGCGGTGCGTGATGGAAGTTGCGACGACCAACGTCACCACCGCCACCACCGCCACCACGTGCAAGACCAAAGGAGCGCTCGCGACTGCTGAGGCGCGCAGCGGCGTTGCTCAGACCATCGCCGACATGGCGGCTCTTCCAATCCTGCTGTATGAAGGGGGGGGGGAAGGGGGGATATGGGGTGTGGTTGGTGAGCTCGGCGTGGGGGAACGAGGGACACTTCGAGGGGTGTGTGTGTGGTGCGTGTGAAACATCGGGAGAGAAGAGACACCACGTGCACAGAGAAGTAAATGCACACCAAAGCAAAACATACCCACAAGCAAAAGCACCAGCACACGTACACACACGAATGCAAATACAGATGTGCACACGTACGTCTCTGCTTCTGGAGACGGCCGAGTCGTTTGCGCCATAAGAGGGCATGTATCGGGTGTACTGGCCAAGACCGCCGTCCTTACGCTGATGACGTGGAGCAGATACGGGAGCAGGGGATGTACGCAATGGAATGGGACAGAACGTGAGCGCAACGGGCATGCACTGGCTGGGCAACAACGTGCACAAAGGCTTACGTACACAAATACCGAAAACACAAAACCCGTTGTGCACAAACAGGCAGGCAGGCAGACAGACAGACAGACAGACAGACAGACAGACAGACAGACAGACAGACAGACAAACATACACACCTGTTTGCTGCCTGACGCCATCAAGTCTGCGCCCCAATCGGAGGAGAGACGCTGCTTCTGTCCAGAGAGCGACGTGAGCACCGCTGCTGCGTTGGTTCCCGCCACGGCGCCCTGCGCCCTTCGCCCGTGTGTCGGTTGCGAGGGCTGATATGACGACGACGATGGCGATGCGTCGGGCTGCACACGTCGTCCCCACTGCCGCCGCCCACCAGCAGGCGGTGCCATCTCCGCAGAGTCCTGCAGTTGTGGTGATGGTGGTGATGATGATGATGGTGATGGTGGTGGCATGAGTTTGAGGGGTCGCATGTGTGAAAGGTTGGGGGTGCACGGGAAGTCACAAACACACACACACACACACACATACACACACACACACACACACACACACACACAGACACGCGCACACACAGTCAGACACACAAATACACACACAGATACACAGACACGCGCACACAAGCATGCATGCTCACCCTGCGCCAAGGGTCGCCGCGTATTCTTGCAGATGATTCGCGGCTGTGACGATAGCGGGCTGATGTTTCTCTGCTGCCGCGGTTGTAGTTGTGACCGCCACCGCCACCAGGCATCTGATACGACGATTGTTGCTGTTGCTGTTGTTGGTGGTGTGCTTGTTGTTGCTGTTGGTTTGCTGTCGTGTGTGTCGGGGCGGGGTTGTATGCTGCTGCCGCTCCCCTCATCTTGGCAGATGGCTCGCGTTTTGGTGCGGGCATGCGTGGTGGACGCGTGTGTGCTGATCGTGCGTCTGCAGCCCCCGTTGCCGCCTTGTTCTTCTTGCTGCTCTGCGGGGGTGCAGAGTACTTGTTCACGGGCACCTCGGGGAACGGCTGGTGCTTCGAGAAGTAGTCGTGCTTCAAGCACTGCAGCGCGTTTGGCCGCTTCGACGGGTTCCACATCATCGTCGCGGCCATCAGGTCAATGCCCTCCGCGCTCGCCTGCGGGATGAGGGTGCGCAGCGGAGTGCCAACCATCTGCGGGAAGCGGAAGTTCATGTTGGCAGCCATCTTCAGCCCCTCTGGCCACGTTGCCTGTGTGGGTGCGCCCAGCACGGCCGTGATCTTGAACAGCTCGTCAACCTCGCTGCTCCCCGGCAGCAGCGGCCGCAGCGTGTACAGCTCTGCCATGATGGTCCCAATGGCCCAGATGTCAATGGGCGAGTTGTAGTTGACCGATCGCAGGAGCACCTCGGGTGCGCGGTACCAGCGTGTGGACACGTAGTCCGTATATGGCGGGCGTGACCGTACCTCGCGCGCCAACCCAAGATCAGCAATCTTCACCAACTCTGTTCCGTTGCACAGCAGGTTTTCCGGCTTCAGGTCACGGTGGAAGTAGCCTGCACGGTTGGCGTAGGTGATGATAGCGGTGGCGGTGGTGGTGGTGTCACGACGAGGGAATGGTGAGAAGGGGGTGGGGGTGGATGGGTGGATGGATGAAAAAGGCGTGTGCTGGAAGTGTGTGTGTGTGTTTTGTGTGTGTGTGTGTGTGTGTGTGTGTGTGTGTGTGTGTGTGTGTGTGTGTGTGTGTGTGTGTGTGTGTGTGTGTGTGTGTGTGTGTGTGTGTGCCTCCTGTAATGGGTCAAAAAACACACCTTGCTTGTGCATGTAAGCAAGGCCTTGCAAGACTTGGTATGTCATGTTCCGGACAACGGGCTCGGGAAAGCCCTTTTTCCTGTCACAAGGGGGGTGGGAGGAGGGGAGGTGCAAACAACAAACATCGACGGGCGTTGTTAAATTATCATGTCAGGCAGTAACAAGGGTGTGTATGTGCGTGGGGCCCTAAAACAGCATATGTATCTACAGCATATGTATGTACAAGGGCACCAACAATGGCAAGCGGTGCAAGCAAAGGCCATGCCTGTTGTCCTGTACCTTGTCTTCATAAGATCGTACATGTTGGACTCCATGTACTCGAAGATCATGTACAGCGTGTTGTTCTCCCGGACAAGCTCACGTAACCGCACAATGTTTGGATGGTGCAGCTTCTTCAGCGACTGTGTGTGTGTGTGTGTGTGTGTGTGTGTGTGTGTGTGTGTGTGTGTGTGTGTGTGTGTGTGAGCCGATGGTGCAAAGATACAGCGGTAGCGCAAACCACAAACCTGTTACAGGACGTTCAACATGAACAGCCAGCAGACACACAACGCACACAGACTCACACATACACACACATACAAATCCAGCCACACACACACACACATACACACACGCACACACACACACACACACACGCACGCACACACACAACGTACTTTGACTTCTTTCAGGGCGATGCACTCATCCCATGCGTAGTATTTCTTCTTCATCTTCTTGATGGCGACCGTCTCGCCAGTCTGCTTGTTCTTGGCAAGCAACACAGAGCCATAGGTTCCATCTCCAAGCGTCTTGGAGATGTCGTAGCGGTTCATGCTGCCAGCGGCGTGTGAGCTTTGTGGTGCGCCCGCTTCAGTAAGGCCCAGTAATGCCGATGACGATGACGCGGATGAACCCAGCTCAATCAATGTTCGCCAGCCAACAAAACAAGATAGGACAACGGCGACAAGCAATTCAAAGAGCAACGTGTGCGAAAGGTGGATTGGTGCAACAGGGAGGCGTGGGTGGATTGGTGCAACAGGGAGCGGATCAAGCAGGTGGGTGGACACAGGTGGTGGGTTGTCAATCAATGATAGATGATCTGATGATGAGGGTGTGAGTGTGTTTGCAGGCGTTGGTGATGATGTGTGTTGGTGGGGTGGAGGGTGCGTGTGAATGTTTGGCTGTTGGCTTGACGCTGGCTGGCTGGGCTGTGCGTTTGTTGTTGTTGTTGTTGTTGCGCCAAGCGTTTCCAAGAACAGAAAATTTGTGAACATCTCCACATGTTTATCGGTATTTCACACAACGACAGCACAAAAAACTTGCTTGGCAGGCTTGTGTGTGTGTGTGTGTGAGTGAGTGTGTGAGTGAGTGTGTGTGAGTGTGTGTGAGTGAGTGTGTGTGTGTGGTGTGTGTGTGTGTGTGTCTGTGTGGTGTGTGTGTGTCTGTGTGTGTCTGTGTGTGTCTGTGTGTGTATCTCGCTCTCTCTCGCTCTCTCTCGCTCTCTCTCGCTCTGTGTGCGTGTGCAACACCATGGTGGTGGTGGTGGTTCAGCGTCTGCTGCGACGGGAAGGCGGGGGCGGCAGGCGCGTGTCGCGGGCAGCAGAGCGAGTGTCCCCTGCGTTGACGAGACGTGAAACAGGTTGCACGAAAAGCATAAACGGTGAGTGCACGTGTCCAAAAGCACAAGCAAAACAGCACATTGCATTGTTGCGCTGCAAGGCGGGGGAGGGCATGGGATGTTGTGCTCACCGCGCCGATCACGGCTCCGACGGCTCTCGCGCTCCGTCGGCGGAGGGGGAGGGGAGCCACTCTAAGATGTATAAGGCAGGGGGGGGAATGGATGTGTACAGGGAGCTTGTGGGTCAGTCGCACGCAACAAAGTTCAGGTAGAATGGCAGGCTGGTACGTAGGGATGAGCAGCAGGACAGGCTGACAAACAACAGACACGTGAACGCACGCACGCAGACACGTGGACGCACACACATACATACATACACACACATACACACACATACATACACACACACACACACACACACACATACACACACATACACACATACACACACACACACACACACACACACAAGCTTTACCCGGTCGCGGGAAGAGGACGAGGAAGAGGAGACCTTTGCTCGCTTGGGCTGCAGGTCCTCTGTGCTGCCACCGCGTGAGGGAAGTGGCGGCGGTGCACGTGCACGTGACGATGACGACGATGACGATGGTGATGGGGCGGCGCGGCCGTGGTCTTTGCCGCTCTTTGGATCCGTCGAGGACCGACGCTTGCTGCTGCTGCTGCTGCTGGTGGTGGTGGTGGTCGGGGTTGTGGCAGCGGTGCTCTTGTCGTCCTTGCTTGATCTGCGCTTCTCATCCTTGGGCGTTTTGTTGCTTTCGCTCTTCTTGCCACTGCTGCCACTGCTCTTGCGTGACGATGATGATGATGACGACTTGTGCTCAGACTTTGGCGTTCGCTTGCTGTTGGATGAGGACGATGTGGTCTTGGCAGGCGTGCTGCTGCTGCTGTTGCTCTTTGTAGCAATCTTCTTCCCATCTGTCTTCGAGGACGATGATGATGTTGATGACTTGTCTGTTGTTGCCTTTGCCTTCTTCGCTGGGGACGCAGCTGCTTTCCCGGACGACGCTGAAGGAAGTGGTTGGAAAGGGAGGGAGGAAGAACGAGGGCGAAAACGAACGATGTGTGTGGGAGAGAGGGTGTGTACATGTGTGAGAGGTATTTTTTTTGGGCATGTGTGAGAAATGGTGAAGCACACGAATGTCATGTGCACACATACACACTGTGTGTGATGTGGCATGTCGTCGGAAGATCGCGATGAGCATATGGTGGTTGAAGTGCACACCTGGCGCCTTCTTCGCTGCAGACTTGGTGTCGGTCGGATTGTACACGTTCTGTCGTGATCAGTGGGAATAAAGACGGAGGGGACGTTTCACGCCACGTGGCAGTGGCAGTGGTGGCAAGTGTGAGGTCAAGCAAGTTGCATTTCGGCATGAGTGTGGGCGATATCGTGCACGTGCAACAACATGATCATGATCATCATGATCATCATCATGATCATCATCATTCACGCACCGCGGGGACCCAGGTGCCGCTCCTGTCGAGGAGTTGGCGGTTGTACGACGTCACCAGCAGCTTCACATCCTGCACACGGGATGAGGAGAGATGGGACAGGGAAGGGAGGGGGATCGTGGTGTTGTGTTGGACATCAAGATGAGTTGTGTGCGGTGCTGTTGTGCAAACCGTATCGAGCAGGCAGAAAGGAAGAGGTACAAGGACAACGGAAAAACAACAAGAACAGCAAGAACAGCAAGAGCAAGAAAAACAAGAACACCACATCCACCACCACCACCACCACCACCACCACCACCACCACCACCACCACCAGCACCAGCACCACCACCACCAGCACCACCAGCAGCGCAAACATTGACCTGTCGTGTTGTCTCGTCCTTCAGTATCTGCTCAATGGCTTCAAGCAGCACCTTGGCCAAGTTCTTCATCCGCGGGAAGTGGTCGACAACCTGCCGGGCGGAAGAGGTTGAGAAGGAGGTGATGGGGGGGGGGGTGGATGGAGTGGTAAGACCATATGAGGGTGGAGATTGGAAGTGCTGGCAATGAAATGAAAACGGAGGGTGTTCTTGAGAGATAAGTCACACCACCACTGTGGTCATGTCACTGCAACTACCACTACGATCACCATCATCATGGTGATGACCTTGATCATGACGAGGACGGCGCGGCGAATCAGCGACGGGTCTTTGCTGTTCAGCATCGACAGGAAATCCTAACGCACACGTGCACACACATACACGCACATACACGAGCATGATGAGATGAGTCTACGCACACACACACACACATCGACGAATCAGGAGCAGTGATGTCAACGCAATATCCTTTCGCTCCCTAACTTTCATAATCTCCACCCTTTCAACACGCTCAACACGACTACCGCGGCCCCATGCGTTACCTTGAGGAGGCGTGTCTGCCAGTTGTAGCACATCTTGCGGTAATCTGCGAACTTGACCGTCTGCGGCTCGTTCTTGTTGAAACTTGCAATGAACCCTGGCACGGTGATGTGCAGTCGCGTTGGAGCGTGGGGGGGGGGGGAGTAGGGTAAGTGTGAGGTAGGCAAAGTGTGTGAGAGCGAGAGAGAGAGTGTGTGTGTGAGTGAGTGAGAGTGAATGAGTGACTGAGGGTAAGTGTGAATGAGAGAGAGAGTGTGTGTGTGTGTGTGTGTGTGTGTGAGTGTGTGTGGAAACTCCACACCCCGTGCAGTCTCTACATCTCAGCCCCGCCAGCACCATCTACACCTGTCTCCACACCTCTCCACATGTGCATCCTCATTGGCAGTACCTGGGGTGGGAGCGCACTCCTTCTGGTAGACGGACGGGTCTGCGTGGAAGCGGGCAAGCACACGCATGGTCTCGTTGAGGAAGCGCCCATACCGGCTCGCCTCGTTCTCCGTCGCGCTGTCGTGTGCACATGCCAGCACGTGGTGGTGGTGGTGGTGGTGGTGAAGGAATGAGCCGGGAGAAACGAGCAAAGAGAAAAGGCCAAGAAATGGAAGGCGCTCACGCCCAAACACACACACACACACAATCGAGTACACGACACGAGTACACATACGAGCGAGCAGCAAGGCTTTCACACCTCATGATGATGCATGCGGTGTGCTTGAAGACGAAGTTAAAGTAGAGCAGGGTGCTCCAGTTTTCCGTGCGCATCGAGTGCAGCAGCACAGCAAACTTGGCACAGTACACGGCATCTGGCATCGTCGTAATGAGTGGCAACAATGAGTGGTAGTGGAGATAGAAGTGAGGGTGGCGGCGTAAGAGATGCAAGGGGCTAAGTGCATGCGCGTTTGTGTTTGCATGTGCGCGCGCGCGTGTGTGTGCGCATGCGTGCGTGTGTGTATGTGTTTGCATGTGTGCGTGTGTGTGTTCACCTGCAGCCGAGAAGAAGCATCGCGGGTAGATGCACAGGCGCAGAAACTCCGACACAACGACGCTCTTCAGCGAGTGGGACGGCTGGTGGCGGCGATGAGGATTGCATGGGGTCGTGAGCACGTGAGGGTGTGATCATGATGGCGGTTCCAACGTCCTGCTTCCTCCCTCCTCATACACGCAGAGAGGCAGACAGACAAACAAACAGACAGACGCCAGACACAAACATACGGACTCTATCTGACCTGGACGAATGACTTGGAGAGGGAGGTCAGCATCTCGTGTGCGCATTTCACGACCGCTTTCTGGCGCGACTCCTCCTCCTCTGCACACACACACACACACACACGTACACACACACACACACACACACACACACACACGCACACAATCATGTGCGTCAAGGTAGTAGGCGTTAGTGTGTTGCAGCATTCGCAACACCTTTCTCTGTTTGTGTGTGTGTGTGTGTGTTTACGCACGTGTTTGCGTTGCTTGCAGGTGCCAACAGCAACAATTTACAACGGCATAAACACGTGTGTCAGTGTGCGGGGCATTCACACATGTGTGCGTGGGTGTGCACGTACTGAGGGCCTTGATGGTTGCTTCATTGCTGGTGATTTCACGGCGCTTCCTCTTCTCCGTTCGCGACGTGTCCCCGGGGGCAGGCCGGTTCTGCCGCTGTGTGTGTATGTGCGTGTGTGTGTATGTGTGTGTATATGTGTGTGTATGTGTGTATGTGTGTGTATGTGTGTGTGTGCGTCAGTATGCGCAACACGCAAGCCGAACAACACTTTCTTGTTCACAATACAGACGCATATTGAGAGAACAAGTCACAGACAAGCAACAGCAACGAAACAGCAACAACGACAACAACATATGCCATCCTCCCCCCTTCCAAATCTCCACATCAT